TCACAGATAAACAAAACTGCAGTGCGCGCTTAGAATAAACACAACGATTATTTTGCAAGTCACTGATTACTATAACCAAACTAATTTCCCCAATTAAAAAATGTAGCAATAAAAGGTAATAAAATATAAAAGAAAAATAATGTCAGTCAGTGATTTAGTCCGAAGTAGATGTGAGCCAAAATCTTATTTCACTTAATTTTATTTCATTATTTTACCTTTGTAATTAAAAATAAGAACAAAGATGCAAATACAACGTTAGCTAAAATGTAAGCAGTTTATTTCACTATCTTGAGTTGGTGTATTTAACAGTAGCAGGCTTTCAAGTAAGAAATTGAAGAAAAAAAAAATATATATATTAAAACAAAACACCACATATATTTATGAATTAATTATACATTGATTCTTATTAAAGCTACTGAAGTTATTCAGTCAAGAGCAGGAATCGATGTTCTCTTTGTCTTTTGCTGTTTTATTTTACATTATTGACACAAGCGGCAGAAGGTTTTTTTAGGCTGCGGTCACTTGTGGACCGAATGCATGGATCCAGGGCCTAAAATTAACACTCGCCAAGCGGTAAATGCGAGTAAAAATTGCCTTTGGCGAGTATATGAAATGGTGTCAATAACCAGTTGGTCGGTAACATCTTTATGAATTATAACAATGCAATGTTATGAGAACATGAACATTACAAATGTGAAAAACCGGGCCAATTTAAATATTCAAGCACAAGAAGACGTGAAAGGAAACTCAATTCTTTGCTTGCGCGCTGTGTGGGAACAGGGAAGTTTAAACATCCAAAGCACACACACACACACAGAAGGCCGAGCCTCAGACAACGTCCGAATACTAAATTGAGCTCTTTCACGTCGTCTTGCACTTGAACGGACACATTCCCACAAAATTATGTCAGAAAATGACCATCTCGGCAAGTACCCTAGTAAACACAGTCGACTATGTCTTAAGTGAAGGTAAACAGTTGAGAAAGAAAACGCATGTGTATGGTATGTATCAGTATATTAGATCAGTGCATTAGGACTTAAAGTGACAGCATCCTAATAATCCTACTGGTGTCTGCATTTTTAATGTTAAAGGTGCTCTACGTAACTTTTAGCGGCCTCTAGTGGTGATGTTTCAGATTGCAACCAAATTTTACAAGAGCGCTCGTGCTCGAACTCATAGACAATACCGTCTATTACGCAAATATCTCGGCGAATACTAGATGGATTCGGCGAGCACCGAGCTCGTTGGGACCATCTAGTCGAGCTGAAAAGAACCATATAAGTTCCATAGTTTTTGGTGGTGTTTTCGCGGAGATATTAGCAGAAAACCATCGGGCGCGCTGCAAAATTGCGGACGCCGGTGACGTCACGATCTCAGAAGAAAATTGCTCGTATCTCTGGAACGCAAAGACCCAGAGAGCTCAAATTCGGGGGAGGAGGTCCCAGGGGAACCCTTGCCCGAACGCTAGAGTGGCGGGCCTCGGGGATGCCCCCTACCGGATCGCCGTTCGCTGGGGCCCCCGATTTCGAACGGCTATAACTCGGGGAGCCGGGCGAGTTGGATCTCGGGGGTGGGCTCGTTCGAAAGGCCCCGTCCAGCACTACGAACGATTAGAGTCTTGGGAATATTGATCAAAGATTGACTGAGTTATAAGCCGAAAAACGTGCGCCTTTAACCGGACGTAACTCCCTGACCGTCTACAATAGACTGTATATAAGGAGAGAGGCTCGGGAGCGCGCATGCACGTCACATCCGTTGGATTTCGCGGTAAATCCGACCCGGAGACTTCACATAGAAATAGGAATACTGGCCTTCAGAGGTAAAAGCAAAACTCGACAAGTGGATCATTTTAATGTGTGATTACAACCCCTTCACACACAGGCAATAAAAAAAGAATTCATTTTAGTAGAAAAGTTACATAGAGCACCTTTAATCAAACAAAACAAAAGGACAAAAAACACAGTGAACACTATGCAGTGTTATTTTAAATTTCATTACTTATTTCTGTCCATGAAAACTATTGTTAGACCTACCTGAAAAGCACTGTTTATTTCATTTGTATCTTTATTCTATTGTATTTATTTTTGCTATTGCTTGTAATTAGATTATTTGGTCGTTTTTTATTTTGGATTGTTTACTTGTCTTTAATAATGTTTTTAATTCATATGAGTTAGGCTAGTAGTTTTAGCTGTGGTATCAAAATTGGAATAGGAGAATTGTCATTTTTGGTTTCATGGTCGGTAAAAAATATTTATGTCTGGTAAATTTTCTTAAGTCACTGGCCATGGGCAGGTTTGGCAAAAAGTTCGTTTTAGGCCCTGCACGGATCTAATACACAGACACGCATCCGATTTTCTCCCAAATTTTTACATTCACTAAAGACATAACTGACTGTGTGTTTATGTAAACCTTGTATGTATTTGAAAGCTAAAGACCAAGAAGATACAAAAGAGAAATTATTTTAGTAGTCACATGCTGTTTGACAGGCTTTTATTGTGCGCGCATTTCGGTTGTACGCACTAAGAAAAGCTTTTGTCAGAACAATTAACATTTAAAATAAAGAGTAAACAAGAAAAGAAACAGCTGAACCACTACGGACATAAGGTTTGGGAAGGTGATTGGGAGGCAGTTAGCAGAGGTGGCAAGGAAGCAGGAGAGCAAGTAATAAAAGTCGGAGAAGAAGAAATCAGCTATTAAGCCATGTGATTGCTGCTCCTGCTCTTTGATTTAACCCAGAATGCTGTGCTCCACGATCAGCTAATCTACTTACAGGTGGCCTCGGTGTAATTAAGCTGAAGGGCCCTCGTTTAATCGCTTATTGAGTGAACATGCTGGGAATCTGACCCCACACTCCTGGGGTCCTGCATATTATATGCGCACACACACACACACACACACACACAGGTCTGCAGCTAACGTCCTGTTGGAGTAATGTCCTGTGTTCCTGACGATGCTTCTGAGTAATTAAATGCGAGAACTAATGATTGCGTTAAACGCTTGAGGAGGCTGGAGCGTTTTCACCTGCTCTCAAGCCTCATTGATTTAATGACGATTAATCTTGAACAACATTTATAGACTAATTAGAGGATAATTCATTAAGCTGGATGTAACCAGATAAAAAGTAAAATTCAACTATCAATTTAGCTTTTAATAACACAAAAGTTGTACAGTTACTATTTTTTTCATGTTTTTGAAAGAAGCATCTTAAGCTAATCAAGCCTGCATTTATTTGATCAAAAATGTAGAAAAAACTGTAATATTGTGAAATATTATTACAATTATAAATAATGGTTTTCTATTTTAATATAATTTAGAATATTATTTATTTCTGTGAGGCAAAGCTGCATTTCCATCAGAAATCACTCCAGTCTTCAGTGTCACATTATATATACAGTATATGTGTATATTTATGAATCATGATATATATATGAAATGAAAAATCTTAATTTCGAACTATAAAAAAAAAAGAAAAACACATTAAATATACAAATGAGTAAAAATATCAGTGTTATTTTGGTATTATATACTATTATAGCATTTATTAATTAGCCTTTATTTTTATATTTTCCATTTTAATTTTTAGTTATGGTAATTTTGTTGTTTCTGTCATTTTTATTTGTTCGTTTATGTTTTTCGTTATAGCTTTATTTTTTTCAGTTTTAGTTTTAATAAGTTTAGTATTTCAATGCAATATTTCTAAATTGCGTTTAAGTTTTTAAAATTTTAAGATTTACATCTAATTCATATTAGTTTGGTGGTACTATAACAGAAAAAGCTGAAGCTACACAGATTAGTCAACCTCACTAATCATCGACCTCTCTAATTAGCCAATTAGTTGACCATTGTGACACAGTAACAACACACCTCTCCTCAACAAATCATTAGGTATCTGTGGTCAGCGAACTGGAAAAGCAACAAGAGATCTGCTAAATATAGAAATCGCCCAAGGACAGATTACACATTAGACATCCACACACATACACTGAGAAGGAAGACTTGACGTGTTTTGCTAACTGGCAGAAACATTGCTGTTGGCTCTAACGCTAACACTTTTTTAGAACGTGAGAGGGCAGTCTGTGCCGTCCTGCTGAACCAAAAGCCTACACGGCAGCGTGTGTGTGTAAGGTTTGAGTGTGTGCTGACTTTGGACAGTAACGGGCATTCTCTAAGGCTTTAGTTAACTTTCCTGCCAGCTCCAGGCCTTATATAAAATGTGTGTGCAGAGTAGATGTTGAGGTAAAGGCTATTCTCTTAGCGCCTGCCTTTAGACTCAAAAGCACAGCGTAGAGCCAGCACCACACTCACTGTGAGATGTACACAACACAAATGGAGCCAGTTACCAGGAAAACTGAATTATGTAGGAGAGTGTGTGCATTGACCAGAAAATTTGAGTTTCCCGAAGCGTCAATACATGAAACAAAATTCGATAACCACACACAAGAGAAGCAAGGACCATGGGTAACTTTACAGCCCAGACATACAGACTTGTATGCTGGGTTCAGTATGCCGCTTTTGGCACAAATCTGTTTGACGCAGGGTGTCGTGGTGAATCGTAAACGACAATCATGGGCGTCGGGGAGCAAGAATCAATCGTTTTCTCTCATATAGTGTGTCATAGTGGAAGACAAACGACGCCACGTCTACGACACTTCACAAAGTCAGTCGCTAGTTCCGCCTTCTCGGTGCAACTTCTCGATGTTTACATGCAACCGAATTATCTGTAAGTAATCAGATTGATGCCTCAATCGGACTGAAAAGCCTTCATGTAAACACCTTAATCGATCCGATTGAGCTCGATCCGAATGAAATTTCGATCCGATTGAAAGGGGTGGTTTATTCCTTTTCTAATCCGATCGAGAGAACATGTAAACACTTGATCGGATTGAAAACCAAAACTGAAAGGACAGCGCATGTGCAATGACATTGAAATAGCGTAATGACGTATGACACGCTGAACGAGCTGTTCAATCTGTTATGAAATCAGTTCTTAAGAGGCTCACCGTTTCTCTTCTCCCTCTGATTGGTTTGGGTCTTGCTCCTTGGGCATGTGTTCCATTCACCTTATTTCCATCCAGCGGCCAATCATGTGAGACTGAGGCGGGCCCCACCCTCGAATGCACGCCTGTCATTCGCGGGTTGTGATGAGTCAGACAGTCATCGGACGGCTTTGGAGCGAAGCTCGCAAACCAAGCCCGCCTCACTCTCCAGCCCAGATGCCCAGTGATAATGCAGCAATATATAATGAGGTCTGCGAAAAAAAGACAGAATCAAAGTTAGCATGTGCGCTAATCAATCCAGAGCACTGTAATAACAAACTTAAGGAGATCTGTGAACAAGAATGGACAAATTATATTTCAATGACTTTACGTTCCACAAAAAAAAAAAAATGTGTTTGCGCGTAAAAGTTTTGCATTCCCCTGAGAAACCTTTGGTTTGCTCACAAAACGTTAGCATTTTATTGTGAGCGAAGGCAACATTTCCGAGTGTTTTGTGAGCAATTTTTAGTTAGCAATAACAACCCTGTCTTTTATTCATTGTGAGTAAAAATTGTGAGTTTATAAATAAAAGTATGTTGTATTAAAAACAATCTGTGTAATAATAAAGCCACGAACAACGCAAACTTTGGCAAATCCCAATCTAGTGGTTCCAGTCCAGGCCAGGGTATTATTTTGAGAGAATAAAAATTCAGATATGTGTGCATCCCTCTTCTTCTTTTAGTTGTCTGTCCCATGTGACATGCTTCCCATGAGCTCTCATAAGTATAACCGGCTCACTGGAGAAAAAACAAGCACACTTTCCAGGAAACAACTCCGATTAAGTAAGCCTAAAGCCCAAAACCCAGGAGGTCACGTGCAACACCAGGTTGCTGCTCTTTCACTTCTTTGGCAGCAACAATGCGTCTCAAAACCTTTGTAAATCGCAAGGCCTCGACTGCCTTGATAATCTGGATTAGGAGGGACACTGAGAAAATGATCCACAGGCCACGAGATTGTGATGAGCTAGACCATTTAACTGGTCAGTTCACCTGAAAATGAAAAAAAAAAAAATCAGTCTTTAAAGTATGGGGTTAGAATTATTGCATTATTGCTAATAAATAGATTGAGATTCACAAACAAATGTATAGAGATTCACAAAAATGTATCAAATTCACAAATAAATAGATTAAGATCCACAAATAAATGTAAAGAGTTTTCACAAAAAATGATAAAACTCACAAATAAATAAAATGAGATTTGCAAATAAAATAAAAATATGTATAATATAAAGTGTTTTATATGTCACAAACACAACTCCGCCTGACATTTATTTGTGAACCGCTTTCTGTGCATTTGTAAATCACTGCAAGCATTTGTAAATCCCCTCACGCATCTGTGGATTTTGAAACACTTCTAGCGTTGACGTGCAGACAAATCCACAAATAAGTGGACTCCACCCACCGTTTCCTCAAGCCAATCAGATAACGGCCACATTGAGCTGACCATGACCAATCGTAGCACGTTCTCGCTACAACCAATCACGTAAGGCTTTAAAATCAGGCTGGTCTTGCCCTGAAATAACTTTGCTCATTCATCTGCATTGGATCAAATAGGAAGTGTAAGGCTAAGGCCCATAATATTGCTTCAGTAAAATGTTTAAAATTTGGATTTCGTTAGAGTTAGACCATTAGACTGTGTATCAAGACAAGACACATTTTTATGAGCACTTTGAAAATGCCAGAGAAACAGCGCTTGCATCTCTATTATGGGAACAAAGTGTTATGGAAATGGAAGCGTCACGTTATTCATGATAAAAACAGAAAAGCATCAATAAGTTGCTGACAAATGAATAACCGGATTCAACCTCGTGATAAATAAATACGCAAGTTTGTGTAATATAGGTGTTTTTCCCAACAGCTTTTCCCACTTCTTCAGTCAAGTTTTAAATACGCAGAAGGTCCGTGGATCTTGTATCATGCATTTAAAAGTGAAATGCCCAGCAGACAAGCGATTTGCATTTATTTATCCGTTAAAACACTTGATCATAAATGCAAAGATGTGTTTTTCAGCATTGCATTATCCACTCAAAACCCCAGTACACGCTGTTACATCTTCAGTGATTGTCATTTGGGCTGATATTTGGTATTCTACATAATATTTATGTCCTAGTAGCTGACTAATGAATAACTGGATTCAGCCTTGTGATAAATATGCGAGTTTGTGTAATATAGGGGAAATTACTGTCACAACAGCTTTTCCCACTTCTTCAGTCAAGTTTTAAATATGCAGCAGACAAAATCATCCCTTTTGTCATTTCTTACATTGTGTAAGGACAAAGCAAATGTGCAAATTATGTGTCCTCCGTGCAATTGGTTGTAGAAGCCGCTACTTCAGAAGAAGAACGGGCATCCGTTTGCTATCAATGAATCATCGTATCGTGCTGCGCAGCGTCCAGTGTATACATTATCACGAATTATGAATTTTTATGTAGCCAGCACTAGTCAATAAGGAAGATTATAGACACGTCATATATCTGCTGGTAAGAAAACAGACATCATGGGAAAAATGTGTTAACATTGCTTACACCAGCGTGAACGAGAACGTGCTACGATTGGTCAGCTCAATGTGGCCGTTATCTGATTGGCTTAAGGAAACGGTGGGTGGAGTCCACTTATTTGTGGATTTGTCTCCACGTCAACGCTAGAAGTGTTTCAAAATCCACAAATGCGTGAGGGGATTTACAAATGCACAGAAAGCGGTTCACAAATAAATGCCAGGCAGAGTTGTGTTTGTGACATAAAACACATTTGTATTATTTATTTGTGAGTTTTATGCATTTTTGTGAAACTCTTTACATTTATTTGTAGATCTTAATCTATTTATTTGTGAATTTGATCATTTTTTGTGAATCTCTTTACATTTGTTTGTGAATCTCAATCTAATTATTTGGAAAAATGCAACAAATCTAACTCCATACTTAAAGTCTTGCAGTCTTCAAACTGTGTATTTAGGCTTAATTGTGTATGCAAACACTACTTTACTGAGATAGACACTCAAATCTAAACAACCGATTAGACAAAGGATGCCTACGTTTACGAGCAAATTAGGGATTTGGTCAGTACCCAAATTTAGTCTCCGTTTTGTTGTTGTCACAGGTCAATATGGTCAGACTACGAGTCATAGCAGAAACATTGTCCAAAAAAGCCACTGATCCAGGTTGCTTCGAAAAGTTAAAAAGTACTTCAAATCTAATTTACAATAGCACTATAAACAGCAATACCAAAACTGTTAACCTTTGTTTGCTGCTGCAAACTCAGCAACAAAGCCTTCGCAGCCCAAAAAGTGTTTTGCCCTTTAACAAAGCACTTTACAAGCTTAATTTACCCATTGCGTGCCTTATAAAAAGAAAACTGAACATTTAGCCCACTTTTTGAAAATACAGAGAGATAGACATCAGTCATCTGAAATCGCCATTCAGTATAAAATGTTTTTTTCCCATATCGCCCAGCAATAAGTCTTTCTACAAGTAAAGTTGTCTGGCCTCCTCTACAAAGTCTTCAGTGAAAACTGATATATCGAGGCAAATTCACAAAGCGTTCTGCTGACAGATGTGCATGCGTAAGTGTATATCAATGTTTCTTTGGTATCTATTATGCTCACAGTTACTATGCGAACTCCCCAAACACAAACCGACGTGGTACATGCCGTTCAGGCCCTCTGAATCTGTCTATGAATGGGTGGCTCTGGACCAAAGAGGGAAATAGATCGTTTTATTGTGTGTGAAAAGAAAGAAAAGGATCCGGTGGCTTAAGCTCAAAGCTTGAGAAAGCATGATCACAGAGCCGAGAGGTGCGGGACTCCATGATACTGATACGGCGCTGATACGCTTACATACCGCCGCATCCGACCAGCCTATATTCTGACTGCAGAAGTGCTTGGCGATTCAAGCGCATGGCTAGTGTGTGATGCAACCCTTTGACAATGAAGCCAAGAGGACATTTGTTCTGCATTAGTTAATGCTCAGCTGGCCTATCATCTTTCATCGGGCTAGCCTGTTCACATATTCGCCAGCCTAACGGGCCTTTTCATCAGCCCGTCCAGATGATGTGTGTGTTCACCTCTATTGTGCATAGAGCTAAATGTGTGTGTAAATGTTTTTAAGCTGCTTATTACCAAAACAACGGTGACACACAGTGGGATTTCTGCAACTAATCACAAAAAATTAGTCTCCAATGGTTAACACAAAGGATTCAAGAGGATTATGAATTATGAGAGAGAAGCTGCTCATACAGTACTTTTAATGGTGACTCATGATTGGTGGATGGCTCTTGAAGGGATTAGTTCAACCCTAGTTTTTTACCCTCATTTCATTTCAAACCTATATGACTTTTTTTCATGTGTGGAGCAGACAATTAGATGTTTTGAAGAATGTTCAAGCTGCTCTCTTCCATACAATAAAAATGAATGGGGACTGTGGCTGTCAAGCTCTAAAAAGGCATAAAAAATATTAAAGTATTCCTTAATGCACTATTTTTTTCAAGTCTTCAAAAGACATACAATCACTTTGTGTGAGGAACAAAGCAAAATTTAAGTTTTTATTCAACTTGCTTTGAATGGTGAGTTATTTGAGCAAAGTAAAAATAAAAATAAATAAAAAACAGTAATTTGTTTGGGAATTTTTATGGGAGAAAAACATTTTGGATTTATACTGTAATAAAATCCCCAACTAGCCCCTGTAAATGTTGAAAATACCTTGCATCCCCATAAGAAACAATTATCATCCAAATATACGGCTTTTGAAAAAGAGCAGCTTGGACATTTTGCTAATGTCCTTTTAGTCAAATGGTTATTCAAGATACATGAGTAAATTATCACTATATTTGAATCTTAGGTCAACTATATAGCCCTTCAAGTCCCACATTTCATCTTCATCACAAGGCTAAAACGTACACACAGACATTCTCGCCTCTGCTGTAGGAGGTCCACCTCTCTCTCCTGTTCAGTCAAGGTCAAAGTCATAAAGCCCTATACAATCAAACATACGGGATCTATAAATGTAGCTTTACAAGCCAGAGTTCCTGTTAAACATGCAACTAGCTGAGAACGGAGGCGGGAGGGACACCAGGAGAAACAGAAAGAGAGGAAGAACACAGCAGATTAAGTTTAATTCAGCATAGGGCCATAAACAAGGAAAAAAGTAGAGGTGGTGTTTGTTAATGATGACTGTTTGTTTTAGTGTGTGTGTGTGTGTGTGTGTGTGTCGTAAAAAAGT